CCTGAACCCCAAACCCTATATTTCTAATTATGGGTAATGCAGGCTTTACATCATCACCCCTAGACCCTGAACCCCAAACCCTATGTTTCTAATGGGTAATGCAGGCTTTATATCATCAACCCTAGACCCCAAACTCCAAACCCTATATTTCTCATTATGGGTAATGCAAGCTTTACATCATCAACCCTAGACCCTGAACCCCAAACCCTATATTTCTAATGGGTAATGCAAGCTTTACATCATCAACCCTAGACCCCAAACTCCAAACCCTATATTTCTAATTATGGGTAATGCAGGCTTTACATCATCAACCCTAGACCCTGAACCCCAAACCCTATATTTCTAATTATGGGTAGTGCAGGCTTTGTATCATCAGCCGTATGACCTTTGTCTTCGGCCCAGAAACCTGAATGCCGGAAGTCCGGAAGACCTGAAACCACAACACCTCAGCAAAAACACGCCCTATGCACACTCTTTAGGGTTTAAGGTTTTTTTTTTAAAGCACCTTTTTCCGCCTAGCAGTTAAGGTCGGCAGAATCCGCATTGCGGAAGGCTGGCCCCAGGACCAGGCACACCCTCTCAGACGTCACCCGAAAGACCCGTGCTGCACCATCTCCGACAACTTCACAACCCTTCATCGTCCAGCGCTGTGGATGGTCCATGACCCTCACCTGCTTCCTCACCGTCTGCACGAGCTTCTGCTTCGGCCGGACACTCCCCACCCTCCACAGGTGCGTTGGGCTGCATGTCGTTGAAGCATTCGTCCACATGTCCCGGCTCCAGCGCCCCTTCACGGCAATAGGACAGTAGGAGAGTGGACGCATTCGACAATCCCACGGACTGATCATCCTGTCGATCCTGCGGAACAGCAACGCCCTCACCACGGGGACATCCTGTAAGGGTGTCCACATCTTGCTCCGCCACGGCATCGTGAGTCATCACCAGCTCCGCCACTTCCTGGCCATACTGCTGCTCCACTGCCACTGTACTCAACTCACCGGCTTTCCACCTGCGGTAGATATCGTCATACTCGGCAAACTCCAGGAACTGCAGGACGTTCGGAACCGAGTTCGCCTGGGCCATCTGGGTCGAGCTCTGCGTAGGCGGTGGATTGTCGGGCACCTCCCTCATGTCTCACCCCCTTCCGGAACATCAACGTGGTAGGTGCGACACACTCGAGGGGCATCATTGCTCCCCGTAGCCACTTCCACCGTCATACGGCACCTCTTTCCAGACCCGCCCACCCTCGGCTGTGCCCGTTTGAGCTCACGGTCCACCTCAGCCCGTTCCCACTGCTGGTAATCTGCCGCCTGCCGCTGGGTCAGGGCCATCTCCATGCGCGCGGCTGCCTCTGCCTCCTCTTGCTGGCAGTCGGCATCCACGTCATCATCTTCCATCTCCGCTTTGGCCTCCCGCTCGCTTTCGAAGCTGTCCTGCATCGGCACCGGCTCGGGCATCACCTTCAGGGGGAACAGGATGCCGGGGAGGAAGTGCTCGAGCTCGTTCGCCCAGCTCCCCAGCCATGCCTCATCCGGCGGCACTGTCCCGTCCACCTCACCGCCATCCACCATGGCAATGAGCAGGGCGCGAAGCTGCTCCCGTCTGCCTTCTGGTACACTCCAGGGCCCTCGGCACCTATGACCTGGTCTGCGACGTGCATACCGAGGGTGACTAT